TGCAGTACACAGGCGTTGGAATTCTAGCAGGGAGGCTTTGAGACTTGACGCACTCCTTCCCTTTGAAACAGTGTTTTTGTCCGGTCAGAAAACCCTTGGTGTCAGCCCAAAATGTTAAAATAATTGGCACAAAAGCAATTATTCCAATGACGATATGAAATTAATTTCAAACACTTATATATTAATATTTATTCAAAACTGCGTCTTGTGATGTTACATGCAATTTTTTTTCCACTCCAGTAATCTGAGTAAATTAGTCTGATTGGACAAGAAATGTTGAATATGGAACGATCCTTCGTTTCAGTTCGCCAGTATATGACACGGCATACGGCAGGTGCCTACTGAATTGGTAATGTCACCATGGCAACGTTCTGCTTAATATGACAGTTATTGAAACGAGGCTAAAGCGCAAATAATACTTATGTTTACAAGTTAAAACTCAATACTAATTAATTGTTAAACTGTCACATACTATGCGCATAAGGAATGGTTCGCCTACAGCAGTTTTTCATGGGCCCATACCATTTTGTATCCTCAAGCATAACCAGTAGATATTGTAGATATTGGCATGATGAGAGAGAGAGAGAGACTTACCACTCCATTCCAGCTCTGATATCTTTCTGGGCAACAGGCGCCTTCCAGTGGCCCATCTTCTCCAAAAACCCTTCGTGAATGGCTTTGTGCTCTTCGTAATGTTCAAAATTAGCTTTCTCCATTTGGCCCTATATAGAAAAAAGTCTTTCGTTTAATGGATTCTTAATGACTAAATAGTTTTTTGTAGGTTTTACTACCTACAACCGCTACTAAATTGCTTTTACTATATATATTACTACTATACCCTCTGCTGCTACTGCTGCTGCTTTTACTAACACTCAAAAAAAAATGGGATAATAATAAATATGATTTTTACAATATTAGTATAAAGGGTAGCTATAAACGGTAGCTATTAATATTAACTTGCCTGTTCGTCACGGAAATGCATCACAAAGACTTCCTTGCAAGCTAACAGCTGGTCGCGAGTGTTGAACTCGGAGAGGGCAAACAGTCCATTGAAGAGGGTTCTGTGCTCCAAGTCGATGTTCTTATACTGAAATAAAAAGTGTTGTAAATAGTAGTGCCGCTATCATTTTGAATTTGTAAGTTATAAAGGAACCGTGTCCGTAACCATTGACAAAATGATAATAAACCCTTCGGATATCACACAGTCTTTTGTCCACTCTTTGAGACAATGCCATGTAGTGGTATTCACTATCATTTCTTTAAAAACAGACTGATGTATTATTCAGATGTTAAATTACAAAATTCGGCATGTTTTAGGCCAAATCAGAACATCGCTTTGTCCTCTAATATTATGCATAATTGCACTTATAAGATATGATTTAATATTTTATTAACTTTTGAGATAGAAATAAATATTGAAAGTAAAGTAAAAGACGAAAATAATATTAATGAAAAAAGATACTTGGAGTATCAAAATTTAACCAAACCGGACTGTATAAGTTTTCATATAAAGAAAAAAAAAAAAACTTTTCCTTTTATATAATTATCCAAAAATAATGTTTAAAATATTATAAGCTCGGAGTGGATACGTATGATTTTCGTGTTCATATTTAAAATCAAAAGGCGATTTGTGAATGGATTCAGAAAGTCTGTAAACATTATACATGTAAATAAATTAAAGACACAGTACTTACGCTGGTAGCGAAGCTCTCATTCCACGCGAATGGCACTGGGATACCCATCTTTAAAAGGAGAGGTGGTTGTCTGGCTCAAGTAACAGGTAACTGTAAGTTCAGCGTCTGTGCAAATACAGTCCCGCGCTCTATCATTTATACCCGGCTTCAGGGGGAGTTCATCCTCATCAGGCTAAACCTTCAAGGGTCGTTAGCATCGGGGACAGCTGGACACCATGAAAAAAGCCCTGCTACGTGACTAATCTGATCACGAGATCGGTTGTTCGGCGTCAGGACACTTCATGTAATAACTCGTGCGTTGCGTTAATAATTAGGGCAATGCATTTACCGGCTGGTTTGTAACCTGATGAAAGCGTGTAAGGTCAAACAAATATGTGCAACCTTAAAAGTTTATAACGGCTTTTCCTTTTTATGAAAAATTGGATATTTTTCGACCCAACTTAAGCAAAATCAGGTTTTAAACCATAGACTAGATCACTTGAAATAAACGTTGGATATCTAAACGAAATTTAACAATTTAGTGTGGACTCTTGCTTTAAAAGAGGAACCGTCCTCGACCAAAAGGCGGTAATTTTGAACCCCCTTGTCTACGTACCTGAAAAGGATTCCTGTACTGAGAAACAAGTAGGGTGTCGGTATTGCAGAATCCTATTCATTCTACATTAATAATAAACAACTTCCTATACTCCTTTTGAAGCAGTGTAGCATCTTATTCGGTGAATTTGATGAAGTTGAAATGTCGCCTGTCCTCAAGAACATTGGGTTTTGTAGATTTTAATAGGGAACAAAAGAAATAAATATATTTGCAAATTAATAATAATAATAATAATAATAATAATAATAATAATACCATTTTGTATCACAACGCTCCGAAACAGTGCTTACATTGTACCCTCCATTGTCAAAATAAAAATAGTCGAATTTCTCTGTCTAAAGGAAAATATGCATACGAGAAATTGAGGTTATTTTTTTCTTTACAAGTTAACTATACAAGTCAACATACATTAAAAGAATATTTGCAAATTAGTGTGAAAATATGAAGCTAGACTTAATCACTTGAAATTAAAAATTGGACATTTAAATGAATATATAAAATAGTGTGTAGTCTTGTTTCAAAAACTGCAAATTCACGAATATAGGCAGGGTTGAATTGCAATAAATCGTGTATTGGCAGCAAAGAGCAGTGTACAATTAATATCCAACAAATTTAACTTTATTTTTTGTTTATTTATACTAAGCTACACCCTTTCTCCTACGTGCTCCTATTCATTTATTTTTATTCATATATGGTTCTGTCTACATCTTTTTTTCTTTTCATCATTGTCATCTATTTCTGAGTGAAGTCTGTCTGTTCATTATTCAACTTCATTTTACATTTAAGAATTTGTATGTCGTTGAAATGATTTTAATAGAAAAATGAAAAAAGTAATGAGTATGTGCGACGCAGGTTTTTCTAGTTTTAAAAGAAACCAGATGCTCACCCCATGTCAAGGTAAAAAAAGCTACACGTTAATATTATCCACATGCCCGTAATACTACGTGCCGCCGTGCACCAACTTAGCGTTCTAATTGATACCAGAAATACGCAATGGAACGCATGGTTAAAATTTAAGTGATTTTTCCTTTAACGGCAGAACACCTGACTCAAATAAACGCGCGTGCTAATTGATTTTTCGTCTGCCTCTGTTTCCAGTGAGGCGTGCGCCGTGGCCAGATTGGGCCAATCGCTCCCCGGACATGAGTGTATAAAACTCGATCCCCGCCACCACTTTGTACAGACGCTGAATCTACTGTAACCTACAGGCACGCTGAGTACAGAAGAATCCTCTGCAAAAATGAAAGTCCCCGCGCCATTTTGCTGGACCAAAGATTTCGCCACTGCGGTGAGTATAACAAGTAGACTTAAAGCATATTTTAGTGTGTATTTTGTGTTCGGATAATTTTAACTCTAACTCATTCTCGGCCACTCCTTTTATCAAACCTCTCTGTACATTGAAAAACAATTGTACGTCATATGATATGGAACCAATGCACATACGAGTAGTTCTTATAATCGTCGTTAGAAGTAGATGTCAACTGTGTTTTACTTGTGTTTATAATTTATATTCCCACACATGTTGTTCTGTACATTAAATATAAAGCACTCAGATAAATAAATACATTCAACTGTAATGTCTTAAAACCAAAACTAACAGGTCACATTTTTGATGATTTTAATTATCGTGTATCTCCAAAAAATGGAGGCTTTTTACTCTGGAATGAGCTGTAACTTTATGAAAATCGCCTAACTAGAACACCACTTTCAACTCCAAATGTCCAAGTCTCATGGCATGTTTTGTTACGCGAAAAAAAAAGAAAATTTGGGGTTTATATATACACAATATTTTGACAGTTCGGCAGGTGGAAACTCTTTTAAGTAACGCTGTATGTTAAACTGTGGATGTTTGTGAACGTGTATGTGTGTCCATTGGTGTGGGGCACTTAGTTTTTTACTTATATTAAACATTTGGGTATTCATTTATGTACTCACTTGCTTAGGCTTACGTCAACCCCATCAATTTATTAAGTTATTTTTATTTTCAGTATGAGAACATTGACAGTGAGCACAGGACGCTCTTCAATGGCCTGTTTGCTCTCTCCGAGTTCAACACCGCCGCCCAGTTGAACGCTTGCATTGAGGTCTTCTCACTTCATTTCCACGATGAACAGGCAAGTTTTTGTTGTTTTTTATTGTTGAAATATAAGCTTTTATAAACGAAAAAAACTTTAAGGCAGTTCCCAATTTCATGAAATAATTTTTGTTCACAGGGTCAAATGAAGAGAGCCAACTATGCAGGAACTCAGGAGCATACTGACATCCATAATGGTTTTATGGACCAGATGAGGGGATGGAATTCTCCAGTCACCCAGAAGCAACTGATGGATGGCATGGCGTGGTAAGTTTGTTAATTTTTTTAAGTGAGAAAATTGAATTACTTTCAAGAGACTTTAAAAAGTTAAGATTGCAGTTTTTATATGGTAGAATTAAACAAACGAGCGACACTGTTGCAGTCATTTTGTTTTTTGTATTTTATTACACATTGTTGCAATATTCAGTTCTGTTTTAGACCAACATAAGTAAATTAAAAAAAGAAAAGTCAATAATTGATATCTTACCTATGCCTGCTTGCGTATCTTTTGCACTTAAATGAATAAATTCCGTGGTATCCTTTAAAGTCCAATAGCAGTCGATTTGTTGTTTTCATCCCAAAGTAATTATTAAGATCTGTGTTTGATTCCTGTCACATATTTTTTTCCTCTGTAGGCTTTGCAACCACATCCCCACTGAAGACTTCAAATACAAGGGCAAGTTGTAAACTGGAAATGACTGACCTCTACTCCATCTATCGGATTGCATCTGTTCTGTTGACGTCATAGATGACTTCTTATCTTACTGTCTATGTCATTGAATGTTTATGCAGAATATACTAAACTAAAAGATATCCTCAGCTTGTTCTGCTATCTGCTTGACAATACTGAATGAAATAAACGACGCAATACTTGTAAGCGCAGTAGTCATTGTTTGTTCTTTCCTCTGCTGTTATCTTTATCTCATCTCTACCTTTGTTTTGGTAGTATATTGGTCTCCAGCGTTTCTGTTTTTTTTTTTGGAGAGCAATAGATGCCCTCTTTGCAGCTAAAAATGACGAAAATGTACACGTGCATTGATTCATGTATTCCGATAAAGTTTGCTTGAAATGCTTTAAAGGATAATTTAATGAATATTGATAATTGAAATATATAAATAAATATAAAAATTACTTAAATAAAGTGTAATCGGGAAATAAGATGAAATAAATAGGTTACGCCCAAAGCGCAATTGTATAACCGAGTTATTATGCCAAAGACACACATCTGAACGTAAGCAAGTAGTCATGAAAAAAAAAAAAAAAAAAAAAAAAAGCGCTCTCCCCCTTCTGCTGATACAATATCGCACCAATCACGATAGTCACAGTTTCCCCAAAAAATATTAAGTAAGGTTATCGGCTTAAATCCTAGTTACTTATTTTACTAAGATTCCATATGCCTGGAAAAAAGCCGCATAAATCGCTTTATCTGGCTAAAATTATAGAATGTTGACACTGGAAGCTGCCTTAACTCAGCAAAAGACACTTAATTTGGTAATTGAGGGAATAGCGGAAAAAAATAAAGTAGTGTTTTTTTTCTATAGTTAAAATCTAAAATTGAGATTGTTTTACCTTCAATGTTTTGCACTGTCTAGAGCATCTTCATCAAGGAAATATTCTGTGATAAAATCATTGAAAATCCGTTGAAGTTTTAATAAACGAAAAGCACACTGACAGGGCAGCTCAATTCTTAATCTTAAGTATATGTCAGTAAGTTAATCAATCAATCAATCGATCAATAAACAATCAATTATTCATTCATTTAACAATTAATAAACAAAAATTAGTAGCGATGCATGATATTCAGACTACCCAAATAAGACCATGAGCTTCTCTGTCGTCACAGTACCACCTGACCTACATACGTCAATTGCTTCATTTTTGCTTATTGCGGTGGGGTATTAAAAATCTTTTTTTTCTACTAATCGATTGCTTTTCTAGTGTTTATAGGTTAGTTGCTAATTAAAACATCCTTAGAGTAAATATTGAGTGCTAGTTCTCCAAAGTTCGAGAATTGGAGTTTACCCTGACTAATTCTTCACCATCACACGATAGGGCCAATGACCTGAAAAAAAAGTGTTATTAGCTGGTTGTGCAATGAATGTGCCCCCAACTACAACATTTTATCCGTAGTAGAGTATGAGTGGCATGCATTGCTACTAAGTTTTGTATAGTATAATTTATCCAACAGGAATATACTTAAGAATGTAAGATTTCAGAACATGATGTAAACGTTGTCGATCTTTACAAGATGATTTTTTACTTCTTTGTAGAGTGCTCAAAAAATTCAAAAATATTGAAATAAAGAAATAGTGAATTTTTTTGTAGAGAAGAAATAAGGGAACATATATTTATCAACAAATATGTATAAAAAGATAATGGTTGCTAAGTATATCATCTATATAAATTTGGAAAAGAAAAATCTGATATTGTATTTTTTTTATCAACATTATGTTTTATTTTAACTTGTACATTTTAAGTATTGTTTAAGTTACACTAATCTTTTAAGCTCAAAAATGATCTCCGTTTATGTTTATTTCGTTCAATTCATTTTAACATAGGATCTAAAGGCCTTTTAAACCGCCGTGTCTTGAGAAAATGTCGCATATCTTTGAAGAATTTTGGGAGCTTAGACAGCTGTCGATAGTTGGCTAAATTGGAACGTCAGCACCTATATGAAACACATTTAGGGTGCAAAAGAGTGAATGGAGTTAGTCCATAGATAATAGGTCAGGTGACCAGTACATCCAGGTCATTTACCTAGTAAAGGGCCACTGGTTGAGACCGTAACATCGGTCAGTTAATTGCCAAATGTAAGTTCCAGTACCAGAGGTATTCATATTCATAACAATTAGGGTGTGTTTACAATGAAACTGTCGCACCAGTTCGATTTAAGTCCGCGGAGACTCTCGCTGAATGCAATCAGATTAACAGAATAACAATGTACTTGTGTAATCACCAGCTTTTCTGTTTTCTTCTTGACAAATCGAAATATCCCATAATGTAATTATGGTCGACGGATGATGAGATCAGAAAGTAAAACAGCGCGGTGTAAATTGGACGTGTTATTCGTCCTAAGTCAGGAGCACTGTACAAATGTCCGATATGGACGTAACAATTAAAATGCATATTATTTTTGATTTGACATTCTTCTTTCTGTTACTTTAAATATAACTTTATTAAATATTTTATTTATGCATATTGTGTACACTATATTTGTGTGCAAATATTTTCATAAACATTTTCAACTTATTTTATTCATTCCTCATGCATCTACTTATCAATTTTATTTTTTTGCATTTGTTTATACATATATTTTTTGAAAGAACAACGTCCAAGCGATACATAACATCAACATACAGCATGGATCTACTTAATATCACAAGAAAAGAGAGTGAACGTTGTTATTTCAATGGAAGAATTAAAGAGTAAGATAAGCGCACCGTACGTCTTTCTGAAGATTGCACGTAGTATAGGCCTATATCACGATGGAAGAAAACAAATCAAAAACAATAAATACTCCAATAACACAATTTAGGCGCCATTTATTATATTCATTTCGACAAACAGATTGCAGATAAAGCTGAGGATACATTTAATCCCAATATATTCTGCATAAACATTTACAGATATTGACATACACGTAGAGAGGATATGACGTCAACAGAACAGATGCAATCCGATAGATGGCGTAGAAGTCAGTCATTTCCAGTTTACAACTTGCCCTTGTATTTGAAATCTTCAGTGGGGATGTGGTTGCAGAGCCTTGAAAGAAAATAAATATTTGACACAAATCAATCACAGATCTTAATAATTACTTTGAGATGGGAACAACAAATCACTTGTTATTGGACTTAAAGGATGTCAATGAACTTATTCATTTTAGTGCAAAAGATATGCGTGCAGGGAAAGGTAAGATGTCCATTGTTGACTTTTATTTTATTTACTTATTGATCTTGGTCTAAAACAATTGAATATTGCAATAGTGTATACTGAAAAATAAAAGTGACTGCAACAATGTTTCTCTATTGTATAAATCTACCAATTTAAAACTGCAATTTTGACGCCTTAAAGTTTCTTGGAACTAATTTAATTTTCTTACTTAAAAAGATAACAAGCTTACCACGCCATGCCATCCTTCAGTTGCTTCTGGGTGACTGGAGAATTCCATCCCCTCATCTGGTCCATAAAACCATTATGGATGTCAGTATGCTCCTGAGTTCCTGCAAAGTTGGCTCTCTTCATTTGACCCTGTGAACAAGAATTATTTCATGAAGTTGGGAACCTTTTTGAGTTATTGAATTTGTTTTCATTTATAAAAGGTTATATTTCAAATATTAAAAAAAAAACTTGCCTGTTCATCGTGGAAATGAAGTGAGAAGACCTCAATGCAAGCATTCAACTGGGCGGCGGTGTTAAACTCGGAGAGAGCAAACAGGCCATTGAAGAGCGTCCTGTGCTCACTGTCAATGTTCTCATACTGAAATAAACAGGTATTTATATAATGCAGTAAATAAATTGGATCGCTAAACACAAAAAGAGAACAAATTTATACTGAATGTACAATGTTAGTTTAGAATATTTAGTGCCATACAAGGTTGCACATAAAAATTCACTTAAAAACTTTCACCTAAATAGTCCATAAGGTCGGACAGAAAATACGTTTAGAAATGAACATGCCTTTCCATTCTTGCGTGTAAAATACTGGGAATGTTGCAATTCCTGACAAGCAATCACTTTTTGGTCCCTTATCTTCGTTAGACATATAAACAGTATTTTTTTAACCTATCGATGCAGTGGGTTGGTCAGCCAATAGGTGTAGTCAATATGACGAAACTTCTTTTGTGACCTTGACCGTTACAAATACAATTATTAGCAATGCAAAGGAAATCCAGGAGAGCGCTATTGAGTACTGCTCAGCAGAGGACGCAGACTTTTTAGATTAGTCTTATTACCGCCAAAAGAAGCCTCCCTGTTGTTTCAGAAGGTATGAGTTATTCCTCAAGGAGTTATGCTTTTTCTGGCGACTTGCACAAAGTTGGCACATTACGTGTGGTTAACGGTCTTCAATATTTATCATTTTAGACTTTTAAACAAAATTTGTAAACATAAAGTACATGTACACGACAATTATGAATATGACTTGAAAAGATACTGAGGGACTCCTTGTAGACTAACACAAACACAATTTAACATTTAGCGTTAGTCGAAAGAGTTACCACGTGTCAAAACAAAATGTATCTATGGAAAACAATGTTGTATTTATATATTTCGCGGACAGAAGATGCCATATTACTTGGACATTATTAGGTTGGAAGTACTGTTCGAGTTAAAGGAATGTTCTAGTAAGACGATGAGGGCAAAGTTTCAGCTCATTCCAGAGTAAAAAGAATCCACGTTATGGAGATTCAACAATTAAATTCAAGATCAGTGTAATGTGTTAGCTTCGGTATTAAACCTTACTGGCGAATGCATTTATTCTTTTATCAAAGCCTTTTATATTTACGGTACAGAACAACGTGTTTAAAAATATGAAATAGAAACACAAATTAAACACAGGTAACTACTTGCAATAATGATACTATAGACTGCTTTTAGATGTCTAGGTTCCGGCGTATAAATTTAGTTTTTCAGTTAGCACAGACAGGTTTGATTTAAGGAGAGGGTGAGAATGAGTTTGAGTCAATATTATCCGCACACTAAATACACGTGTGTACACTAAAATATGCTTTAAGTCTACTTGTTATACTCACCGCAGTGGCGAAATCTTTGGTCCAGCAAAATGGCGCGGGGACTTTCATGTTTGCAGAGGATTCTTCTGTACTCAGCGTGCCTGTAGATTACAGTAGATTCAGCGTCTGAGAGCCGTAGTGGCAGGGGTCGACTTTTATACACACGTGTCCTGAATGCGTTTGACCCAATCCGGCCAAAAAGAAACGCCTCACTGGAAACAAGCGAAAAATCACTTAGCACGTGCAACAGATGAGAAAGATTTTGGAAAGTGATTATTTGAGCCAGGTGTTTTGTTGATGAACAAAGTTCAATTAATTATAACCCATGCGTTCCAATGCGTATTTCTATAGTTAATTAAGTCGGGCTGCTTTAAGTTAAAGAAAGCGTTGATTGTTATACTTATGTTTGCAGATATGTCAGTATAAATACGGTATAAACACATTTATTCACCTGCAGGTGTAGCTTTTTCATCAAGATACATGTATTTGGTGAACAATTCTTAGTGAATCAAAAACCGCACCTTTATTTCTTTTTTTTTTACTAAAATCACTTGACTGTCGCACAAAAGATGAAAAATGAATAAAACAATATTGCGGGACAAGCACAGTCAGAGAATTAATTATATACGACTAAATCCAAAATATTATTAATTCAAATAACATAACAAATAGACAAGTAAATGAATGAATGAGGGAAGGAAGGAGAATCAGATGTAAATGTTATGAGTAAAGCTATATAGATGAGTGAATAAATGAAAGAACAGACGATGTCTTCATTTATGTACAGGCATGCTGGCAGTGTAAAGAGAGGGTGAACAGGTACTTTTATTACATTTACATGAACGATTACAAGTAATATTAATAGAATACATGGATTTCGAACAACAAGAGAGAATATTTATATTTTAAAATAAATGAGTGAATGAGTTCGGGGATGAAAAGAATGCATAATACAGATTGATGTTTGCTCAGTTTACACAGTGTGCTCATTTCTGCAGATCCCAATTTTAATCTGCGACCTTAAACTTGACCTTGAAAGCGTCCTTCGGGTTACAGATCGGCCGGTAAATACATTGCCCTGATTATTAACTCAACGCACGAGTAATCAAAAATGTCCTGACGCCGAACAATTGATCTCGTGATCAGGTTAATCACGTAGCAGGGGGTCTTTTCATGGTGTCCAGCTGTCCCCGATGCTAACGACCCTTGAAGGTTTCACCTGATGAGGATGAACTCCCCTTGAAGCTGGGTATAAATGAAAGAGCGTGGGGCTTTATTTGCACAGACGCTGAACTTACAGTTACCTGTTACTTGAGCCAGACAACCACCTCTCCTTTTAAAGATGGGTATTCCAGTGCCATTCGCTTGGAGCGAGAGCTTCGCTACCAGCGTGAGTACAGTGTATTTAGTATACTTTTAATGCCTTTACGGTGCATGTATATTTCTCGGCGGGGTCTGTGCGGATTTAGGCGGTGGCCTCTACGATTTTGTCAAGTTAAAACTAAACTATTTTTAAATCGTAAGCCCGTAGGACGTTGCTTATGGCGTCGCATAGTTTCCCTACGGACATCGTTCGGTGAAATTGCTAAGATCGTGATCGTAATGTTTAATCCAGTTCTTAGTTCTTTTCCACCATTGCCTGGATTTAGGGGGCATGACAGCAGTAAAGGTGTTTAAATCATTGAGTTATTTACTTGCACAAACACTTTTCATCCGACAAACCGATTTTTTCGACGTGAACTTACCTGTAAGGTTAAGTAAAAAAAAAAAAAAAACGTACTGAAAATTGCCTATAATTTCATCGTGCGACGCATATGCGGATATAAGTAAGACTAAAGAGGGAAAATGTTATCACAAGGAAATGAGTAATCTTTTGCGAATGGCGTAACTTAGCAAATCGAAATGGGAACCATATTGCTATGTACTAATTTTTGTTTCAGTATAAGAACATTGACAACGAACACAGAACCCTCTTCAACGGACTGTTTGCCCTCTCCGAGTTCAACACTCGTGACCAGCTGGCAGCTTGCAAGGAGTGCTTTGTGATGCATTTCCGTGACGAGCAGGCAAGTTCATACAAAAGACTATTCATAATGGGTCGATAGTATATTTTAATTATTGTTAGATTTATGTAATGTAGGTAGTAAAGCGACAAAAAAGTATTTCTTCTTTTAAAATTCATCTAATAAAAAACGGTGTTCTTTTTTATCCAGACCCAAATGGAGAATGCTAACTTTGAACATTTCGAAGAGCACAAGGGCATTCACGAAGACTTTTTGGAGAAGATGGGCCATTGGAAAGCGCCTGTTGCCCAGAAAGATATCAAATTTGGAATGGAGTGGTGAGTCTCCCACTCTCTTCTGCATCTCTCTCACTCTCTATCTTTCCTTAGCTTTTGTGTAAAGATCTAGGAGAAAGAAAATAGACACATTTTTGAAATTGTTGAATAAATATATTTGAAGCTGTAATTTGTTAAAGTTAAATTTTCCGAAAAATTAAACAAAAATTGTTTTTTTTTTATTTCAGGCTTGTTGACCACATCCCCAAAGAGGACTTCAAGTACAAGGGCAAATTATAAACAGAGCAGACGAACTAATACGCCACCTATCGGCCTTTATTGCTGCCATTTAGACCAAATTGGAGTCATTTACCCAAACACTGTTTAATGGACTTATGCATGATGTTATTAGGATAAAAAGAGTTACAGATGTAAATGTAATTAACTTATTGTTTGAGAACAATAAACGGTTTTGATGCAAGCCAATTAAAAAGTTGTTATGTGTCAACGAAGGATGATTTTTCAGTTGTTATTGGTCAACGGTAATTAAACGTCGAGTGAAATTCATCTATTACTCCATTAATACATTTGTTTACAAAACAATATATTATCACTTTGAACTAAATTAAAATATCTGTGAAAAAAAAGCGTTTTAAGTTGTAGTATATTGTTTAATAATTTGATTTAATTTCAATGAATAGAGCGATATATATAAATGGAAAGCTGCATTTGAAGGGTAACGATGATAACCAGATAGGAACCTGATTGACACGTTTTCAAACATAAACCTTTTTGGTACATTCAGTACATATACTACAATACAGCAGTTCAGAGTAAGTTTTCGAATAGAATTCACAATTCCATAGTACTTGGATAAGCTCCTAAATTTATATCCATAAATAAAACATGTCATAATTAATATATTAAAAAATGAAATGACTTTTTTTAACTCCCAGAACGCTCCGATCGAAGGGGTGAAAAATATTTCCAATTAATTTGGTCAAAATAACATGTCATAATCCTGCTACTATGGAACACGGGGGACCTTTTTGCTTTAAAATTTTGAAAGAATTAAAGCAAAATCCATGTATTCATATACTTCATATAAGCATATGGATTGCAGAGGACAAACCAATGTATAGAGAAAAATTAAAAGTACAGGAAGTCCCAGTAATTAATGTAACCCAAAGACGTATATTTCTGTTTACAAAGTATACGCAACCGACATATATTTCTGAAGGATATAAGAGGTAGTAAATCGACTGTTACAAGCAATATGTCACTAGCTATATTGGTAAACATTTAACCCTTACATATAGAATTAGTTCCAAATGAGCTCTGTTCTGTTGAGGTCACACTTGAATTATATGGATATAGTTGTCAATTTGTTATAGGACTACATGCTTTCTTGAGTAATGCTGATCTGGGATTGTGTGGGGTTACTCCTGAGGATTGTGGAGACCACTCAGTTACCAAAATACGGATGCCACTTATGTACCAAAATACGGAGGTCACTCAGGTACTATACTGTCCTATACGAAATATCCAATTTCTGCAACACAGCAATTTAAAAAATCCGTCTTACTGATAACTACAAAAGTGCATCATTCGAGCCAGTTTTTTAAATAATCTACTCCACGTGTTTCTCCAAATGTAAGAGACAATAACAGGGAGTCATAACTCCACCTGCATGTACAGACGAGTAGATCAAATAGTGGGCAATGCCTTTTGTATTTGGAATGAGCGGTTTAATTTGAAATACATGTATTAAGAGCATCACATATGCTTTTATAACAAACATGGGTACATTTTAAATCTACTTTAATCTCTTAAACACAGTAGCATTTTGGAAGTAAACATCTTATGAAGTAATATCACTTTTGGTACAAAGATTAAACTGAGAAAAGTTACATTTAATACTAAAGAATATCTCAGCTCTTTCTTGGTTTATCAATCGAGGTATTTTGGTTGGGTTTCCTGAGTGTCAAGTTTGAGGTAGAAATTAAAAAAAAAAAAAACATTTCAATGTCCAAATGCAGGGCACGGACAAGCACACACACACATACACACTCTTTTATTTTTTTATCAATATTCGCATTTTATTTTACCTTTTGGCGTTAACGATACTGACCATTACTTATATCGTAACTTGAATATTTTCTGCTTTCTTTTTGCCTTATATGTCTTTGTTTATACAATGTTTTCTGTAATCTTGGTACAGGTGAGCATTGAAAGTACTCTTTATCATAACCATGAAAATTACATGAAAGGAACAACAGCTGTTCGTAAGATATCCATATTTCACAATACTTTGTAAACAACTTTCAGAAATATAATAAATTCTATTTTACCACAAAAACAGCAGTTAAAGGCCTACTGTGCTCTAGGAACACAGAGCGTTCACTGCTTTTTTTTTACAGTATAAAAACTATAAATCGACGTCAAAAAATTGTTCTTTTTAAGTTTTAGAGAGAAAAGATGAGATTTAGATGAGAAAATTCTGATTGGTCAGTTTCTAGTGACGTAACCCGGGGAGTAGCTTTCCACAGCTGTACTAGTAATAGTATATAGGCCTACTATGCAGTAGGTGACTAAACATCTAAGGGTCAGAAAAACAAAATGCCGCAAAGTTGTGTTGCTCCCGGGTGCTGTAATTTAGGTTACGATAAGAAAGACATCTGCTATTATATCCTGCCTGCGGATGCCGCAAAACGTAAACTTTGGCTCAATTCTCTGAAGTTAAAAAATCCCAGCACAGTGTCAAAACACGCGAGGATCTGTAGCGACCACTTCGAGCCGGAATGCTTCGTACGTGACCTGCGAGCTGAATTGTGCGGTGGAAAAGCACGGAGAAAACTAAAAGATGATGCTGTACCCAGTATATTCGATTTTTCGGAGTACCAAAATGCGACAGTAAATACCAGAGCGCTGCCGACGAGAGTCTTACCTGTAGGATGTGTGCATGATGCGGCCGTCGAAAGGAAGAAGAGAGCAGCTTCTAGAGCCCCAAAAAAGTTCGTAGCAGAGGTACGTTGTCGAATTTTTTGATTATGTTAGTGAAAACTTTAATATAACATGATAGTGGAATCAAATTTTTACTCGACATACTGCTGCACTGATCACGTGTAAGGCGGAAGTAGCGAGGTAAGTTGCAGTGGTGTGAAATGTAGTAGTGTCCGATGCTATCAGTCCGATATCTTTGGCCTTTTGTCCACTGACCTGGCTCTCCCGGAATGACACTGGTAAACTGCACGGGTGTGAAAAATAATGTTAGCTGTCACACCTGCATGTATTAGGTAACTTTCTCTTATCAGTCGGGATAAGAACGTTCAGCCGACGCGACAGACGGGCATGTGTGAAAAACTATGTTCGCTGCCCTGCTTCCAAACCTTTACTGTTAACATAGTTTTGGTGTTTTTTTGTTGGTTAATAAATGATAACCACGTAGGGAATTCATCTTCTTTTGTGTATCTATCTTCAAAAATTTGAATTTATAAATGATCATGTAGTAATCAATTGCATGTATCGCTTTTAGTTTGCACTGCTAGCAAGCGCCTAAAGCCTTTGCCCTTTGGTCTAAAGTTCATATTACCTGTCACACGCAGAGATAATATTTTTTGAAAATTTGTTAAATCTAAACATGCATTTACTCAAAATTTTGTTGACATATTTTTGTGTAATGCAGATGGAACATTCATGGTTAGGATTCTGAAATAGCAGTGATTATTTTGTCTAGTAACAACATAAATCCACATGATGTAAGATTTCGATTTTATACATTTTTTTCAGATTCACAATATAATAGATTCTGAAATGATAGTCCAGAAGAGAGATACTGTGCCTCATTCTTTATAATGTGACTGTTTTAGGATAAAGTTCGGTGACAAAGACAACCTTATACATTTCATATATTTTTGTTGGTCAACTTATTTTTATTATATTACAATGATAAACATTATCCGTTTATTGGAAATTACAGGGCTTGGGGAAGAAATTGACAAGATTTTTGTCCCAGAGTTAGCAAGGAACACTGTGGCCAAGACGCCGAAGCCCACTAAAGATGAAGTTGTACAGGGACACATTTCTAGATTCCTCAAACTGGCCTATTAGACTTGACCCCTGTAGCTTATATACAAATATGAAGTGTTCAGATGGTTCAAAAAATCTTACATACTCAATTTCTTGTTTGAGTGACAGCTCAACGTAAAAGAAAAAATACATTTCTTGCAATCTGCGATTAAGCACGGAGTATTACATATCATTTAATATGAGTAAAAATATTAGCTGTATTAAGAAGTCTTTGTACTTGTGTTACTATTCAGTAACTTGAGCAGTTGATGTGTCCTTATTTTATGAATATATACAAGTACAGTTGATCCTTCAAATGTATATTCTAATCATTGTAAAAATAATCAGTGTGAATTGTAGCAGCAGACTGATGAGCACTACAGATGTATGTTATGCATTAACTGTACAGAGTTCATGTTCTAAATGCAGATCATTGTAAAGGTCCACAGTCACAAAAATAAAGCAAAAATAAATGTTTAAATGTAGGCCTATTCATATATTGAGCATAATCACAAATCCGCATGGCCATCCATTGGTCCACCCAGTACCTCATGATAACCTTCATAACATCCATCTTTTTCTGGAAACCGTTTCCTTATTGAGGTCACTACACAGGCAGGAATAACTTTCCTTCGCCTCCTCCCCAGCTTCCCATATATCTACCATGTGAAGCTTCTGTACGCCACATATCTGTACATTCTAGAAAATAAAAATGTGGTATGATCATTTTGTGTGTTATTCTCAGTCGAACATGTCACCACTGCTTCAATGAACGATAATAATCAGTTAAAAAATTATTTTAATATAAAATGAGTTAATATACAGGACTTAGTTTAGTGGAAATTAAAATACAACCGGACTAAACGACATTCCGAAAAGCGCCGCCATTGTCTTACCTGTTCGTAATTGGGTCACGCAGACTTTCCCCGAGCACTTCTTTCATCGATGCCATGAGAATCTCCAGCATGTCTGCGTCTAAACATGCATTATTGTAGGTCTGTAGTTCGGTAACGCATCTGGTATCGTGCTTCATTTTGGCAGACACAGCAGTGTTTTCACTACAGCACGTTGATTCCACAAAGGTGGGCATAAGCTCACAATGGCCACACTCACACCACGCCAAATCGTTTAGTCGGCTGACTGAGAGCTCTCCTTCACTATCTTCCTGGTCCGTTTTCCACTCTGCATCATCCACATCTTCTGCAATACCCTCTGGTTCAAACAAATATCCTTCAATTCGTTCTCTGTTCATTTTTACAAAATAGTTCAGACAAAGCGATCGAGTATAACTGTAAGTAGGCGGATAGCTGAATCGAATATGGCTTTCTGAGCCTCGACGCCAGTGACGTCACTCGCCCCAAAGCGCCGCCACGCGGGAGTATCGTAAACTACATTCACACCTGCATAAAATCGGCTTTAAAAACTAAATAAACGTAAGAACTTTTTTTTTCATCACTCATAAATGACTTTTGGGCACCTAATGGATAGTTTTAACCCGTTTTTTCATCACAGTATACCTTTAATGCATATATTCTGGAGTTTGTGCTTGCCATCACATCACGCGACCTCCATAGATGGCTACATGTTGTAATAATCTCTTAAAAACCAAACTTTTTAGAAAAAAGGACTAACTTTGAATGAGGAAAGGGATTCATTGACCATTAGGAAATATGGGAAAATTGTCCTTTACCCCAGGTGAATTATTATTTTTTTTTTGGCCAAAATGAACAGTTGTTATCCCTTAAAACTCACGCGCACTGGCGAAATTTTGACAGCATATATATATGCATTTTTACCTCTATAGCTCAACCATATATGTCTCTCTCTCTCTCTCTCTCTCTTTGTGTGTGTGCTTGAGTGTGTTTATTACCGATGCACAAGTCACTCTAGTTGCATGCTCTTGTAGGCATATGGATAAACGCGCTGGCACAGGCAAAGTAAATAAAGAGAGTCATGATCAATTGCAATGGAAGCTTTTTATTGTTCTTAAATCATAAGCAAATGATAAAATTGGCAGTGTTGTTTTAGGCTGTGTAACTTCGTAACGTATCTTTCCTAGAGTGAACTGTTTATAGGTTGACTATTCCAACGTTCCTGCGTATGGTTTCTGCACAGTCCGATAGTCCGATAGATGGCGCATTGTTCCGTTCGTTCCATTTACAATTTGCCCTTGTACTTGAAGTCTTCAGTGGGGATGTGGTTGACAAGCCTAAAATAATAAAACAAATAAACAAATAACTCTTGTCAAATTTTCAAAAAAAAAAAAAAAAAAAAAAAAAAAAAAAATATATATATATATATATATATATATATATATATATATATATATATATATCAGAAACTTCTTATATGGGAAATATTTCAAGATACTCCAAGAAAGGTAATACAAACTAATGAAAGGGCATGTGGAATGATGCAGATATTGTTTTACCTTTGAATCTTTCATTAGAGATGACGTGATTAATTTAACGGTGTGTGTGTGTGTTTGTGTGTGTGAGAGAGAGAGAGAGAGAGAGAGAGAGAGAGAGAGAGAGGGGGGGTCACTCATGTGCAAGTTATTACTTTTTCACCGTCTAAGGGAGTGAGGACGAGAGAAAAGTACTGAGACTCACCACTCCATTCCAAATCTGATGTCTTTCTGGGCGACAGGCGCTTTCCAGTGGCCCATCTTCTCCAAAAACCCTTCATGGATGCCCTTGTGCTCTTCGAAATGCTCATAATTGGCCTTTTCCATTTGACCCTAAATAAAGAAAAGGAACACGTCTTTAATTATATGAATAATGTAAGCTAGGCCCCTATGTGGTTTTCAGCCACTTTTACTACTATTTCTACTGCTGCTACTGGTACTTCTACTAATACTACTATTACTACTACTACTGCCACTACTTCTACTACTACTACTACTACTACTATTCACCATACTATAGGTCTAGTACTATTAAAGCAACAAGAAACCGATTGTACAGAATATCAACTTACCTGCTCGTCACGGAAATGCATCACAAAGACTTCCTTGCAAGCTAACAGCTGGTCGCGAGTGTTGAACTCGGAGAGGGCAAACAGTCCGTTGAAGAGCGTTCTGTGCTCCAAGTCGATAAGTCGATACTGAAACAAAAAGTAAATTGCTACATACAGTGGTGTGGTTTTTACTACGATTTGTATTTAGTGAAAGAGACTTATATTATTCTTCATGCAAAGGTAAAAGTGCGATAACTTATAACCTTTTTTTTAGAAACCTATTTCGTTGTCATCCTTTGCCCTGATACTGCATGGTGCATGGTTACATGCATTTCTTTTATTTTCACTTACCATAAAATGCTACTACTGAACAGGGATTAGTCATTTCCTAACTCACAAAATACATGCACCCTTGATCATTTGCATATAAAAACTGACTGTAAACTTATTCTTGGTTGGAAATTGATAATTACTACTTGGTTGGAAATTGATAATTATTTTAACTGCCACACGAATGAAACAAATGCTATTGGACCATGAGTTATAGTTGTCCAACTTAATATTATTATTAGAAGACGAAAGACTTGTTCTACTTCATTGAACCGCTACTATCACGGCAGATACATTTTACAGGTTTTTTGTTTAATTGGGCACAATTTAATGACAACAGTATATTGCTCTTCTCTTTAATTATAATTTATTTTAAGACACACGGATAAAAATGCCCTGAGGATGGGGGCTTAATTATTATTTAAATGTATACATTGCTAACAGGTGTAATGCGGATGTATCCGACAAGAACAAAACCTTCAGGACTAAACTAAGGGCTTATTCCCATTTAAACTGTATGCATACAAAGTTCTAGCCAACCCCGAGGGGATTGTCGCTGAATGCAATCAGTTTCCAACGTATCATCGGCAGCTTTTCTGTTTTCTACTCAACACAAGGAGATGGTTTGTCAATCTTCTAATCTTATTGCATTTAGTGAGAGTCCCTGTGGAGTTAGCGACGTAAACCGATAATTTGAATGGGAATGAGCCCTAAAAACACAGTAAGTACTCACGCTGGTAGCGAAATCCTCGTTCCAGGCAAACGGCACCGGCACTTTAACCATCTTGGAAAAATGGGAGAAACTGTCAACTTCAAGCTAAAAGTAACTATGAGTTCAGCGACTGTAAAGATGCGATCGCCAGTCACTCATTTTATACACTAAGGCGAGGTGAATTCACCTCATCAGGTGAGAAATTGTCGCGGCTCATTTGTAAACCAGACAGCGGACAATGAGTTCCCCATATGCTGAGGTGAAGTGTCTGATAACGTGAGACAATAATACGTGCAGATTTCAGACACAAATCCTCTTTTAAAACTATAATAAACCCGTGAGCGTCTCATCACCGTTATGGGTAATTACTGAACAGGCAACGTGGACTTAGCATCTGTGTAGTACGTGAGAGTTATGTAAAAGTAATCAGACATTTCTGTTTAATTAAATCCATTCAAGTTAAGGGAGAATTATAGATTCAAAAAGGTACGCGTTATAACACATCAGGTGTGGGTTTACAGCTTAACCAACCTTTAAGGTACACTGATTGGTCATGATAAAAAAGGAAAGGATCAATGAACTTAAGTATCATTTAATATTTCTCTTTTTCCTCTGTTTCAGTTAGGCCATAGAGACAACGAAATAAATAAGTACGTTAACTGATTCAACCATCCTAAGGAAAATATTATCGCATTGTTGCTGCTAAATTCATAAATACATAAACATTAACAAATAAACAAATGCAACTTAGCTTGTTACTTGTGCACATTAGCGTTAGTTTACTTCCTGTACAAACCCGTCACATTCGAAGGCAAAAAGTCATATTTGGGGTATCTGACATTGGACATGAGGTAAAACGTTAAAATAATAATAATAATAATAATAATAATAATAATAATAATAATAATAACAAAAAACAAAAGAAATAAACTACGGTCTCCTATCGACATTAATGAAATAAGTAACATTAATTTTATAATTCATTCAATCAAATATACACATAAAGAAGGAAATTTCAGCATTTTTTCCCATTATCACTAGGCTGACTGACCAGTGTATTGAACCCCAAAATGTTCCACACATTACCGAGACTTGAGTGACGAGAGTATACCCCACTTTTCCGCCCTCCCTAGACAGCCTAGACTATCGATGTATCAGTCAATCGATCAATGATCAAACCCACATTTTATCGTTTAAACTTAAATAGACAAAACACGTGATTACGTGTCTCACGTACAATTACATCACGCCATATGTACCCATGTGGTAAAACACTTGCTCCATGACTGGAAGACTAATGAAGCGCGCACCTCAAGTTGAATTGCAAGTCATCTCCCTCCCTGGGTGTGTATAAAAAGTCGCGGTCTGAAGACACTATCTTCACAGCCAAGAATTCCACTGTTGCCTGTTACTACTTGGAGAGTAGAGAGTTATCCGATCACCATGAAAATCCCAGTGCCCTACGCGTGGACCCCGGATTTCAAAACCACCGTGAGTAGCTTACATTTACACTTCTAAGTGTAACAATAATTAAGTTTTCTTTATCCAGTATACGAGGCTAAATGCTAATATTTTACTTAACGATTTCTTTGGATATATGTTCGTAAAACATCTCATAAAACTTAAGACTAATTCACGAGTATATAACATTGAAACTACGTGGGATCCAGGCCTACCCAACTACCAGACTCGGCACATAAGGATCTTGAATTAACCGGTATATCGGACCACACTACCCGTTTTCAAGGTGTGTGTCAGATCGCATTTCGGAGTATCACACCCCAGAACAAATTTTGTAGGACGATCGCGGGCTCATCCACGCTCGGCTGTCACCTTGACTGGATAGTAAACGATATGATTTTAAAACCGGGTCCATAAAATTGAAAACCACCTAGAACAACCTTACACTGTACTTTAACTTTAGAGTGCTCTATTTTATTGTCTCTGTGGGGGTATATAGGGACTTTACGACATTCGGTTTGAATGCTTTAACCACTTTAGATAGGGCTTTTTTGCATTGTATTAGATTAATGTAGCAGTCTAAGGTTGTTCTAGGCGGTTTTCAAATTTACGCACCCGGTTTTAAAATCATATAGCGATTTTACGACAATCGTTTACTATCCAATCAAGGTGACAGCCGAGCGTGGTCTCATCCTGTCGGTGTTCTGACTGATACTCCGAAATGCGATCTGACACACACCTTGAAAACGGGTAGTGTGGTCCGATATACCGGTTAATTCAGGATCCTTATGTGCCGAGTCTGGTAGTTGGGTAGGCCTGGCATCGCAGACTAAAATTTTTATTTAAAAGTTCAATCAATCTTCTGGATAAAGTTATCATGTGAGGCGAGCTTTAAGTTAAATAGGTAGACGCCGGTTAAAACAAAATAACGAATTAACATTCTAGCCATTTTATATCTTATCATAAACGCAGACTACTGTTAATTAAGCTGGGATCAAAGTGAGGTGCAATTCTCGGTCTTAACTTTAGGCCTAACTTTCGCCGTGAGTCCCATTGTGGCACCGACGAGATTATCTTAGTGTCCATCTGGTATTACCTTGGCAACAGAATTTTATTGCGTATTTACGTAGCGAATAATTATCATTTCATTAAATCTGACGCATCAGAAGATAACTAAAAGGTATAAAAATTGAAAATATTTTATTTTCAGTATGACAACATTGACAGTGAGCACAGAACGCTCTTCAATGGTCTGTTTGCTCTCTCCGAGTTCAACACTCAAACGCAACTCAATGCTGCGATTGAGGTGTTCACTCTTCATTTTCATGATGAGCAGGTAAGTAAGGATAGCTCATCAGTTAATAGTGTAATTGATTGCATGGCAAATAAAAGTGCCATGTTAAGTGATACGCGATGGGAAAATATTATTTTATGGATTGTTAATTTTTAATCGGTAAAGTTTTTCTCTGCGAGACAGGACCGACAGCAATAGCATAAATAGAATTATTTTTTCAATTTTATAATCTGCCTAGAACTTACATTACGATCTGTTACGTAGGTATTTAACATGCGTGTTTTTTCACCTCTCCGTATCAAACATTTAAAACGAGCAAAGCTATAAACATCTGCAATTATTCGAGCTATTTTGTCCAGTTGGAATACGATAATTAGGGACATCACCAAACAGAAAAATACACTTATGTTTATTATTTTTTAAAACATTCGCTGTGGTTTATCTATAGAAAATGCCCTCTATGACAATGTCTGACTTCCAGTTTTATACATAAATACCATTAACTAGAAAAGTGGCGCCTCCGTTTGGTTCACGGGAGAGGCAGGTCACCAGCTTTAACCGTCACTGGTTTCACGTTTAAGTCATAGAACGTTTAATAATATAACCAAGGAATATACTATACAAATCTGTTGAAGCCCTGGAGCCCTGCCTTTCCATTCAACCGTGTTATGCACGCCCTTACTTATATATAGATGTCAACATTCTAGGGTCAGATGATCAGATCCAATTATGTCAACACCAAGGAGCATACCGACATCCATAACAGCTTCATGGACACCATGAGGGGGTGGCGCTCCCCAGTGCCACAAAAAGACCTCAAGGACGGGATGGAATGGTGAGTTCAATAGCTCGTCTTGTATCGGGATAAAAATGAATAATTCTCATTTTGTAACTTTATGTAGAAAAATAAAAGGTGAAGAAATTCTATTTGTATTATGTTACAAGGATACATGGCTTGGTGAGTTCAACCGCTTGTCTTGTACCGTGACAAATATGAATATTTCTTATTTTATAACTTGATATAGGAAAAAAATGATAATGTAAAAATAGATATATTTGTAATTATGTTCCGAAGAGACCTAATGAACGGTATGAAATGCACCTACCTGTTTGTAACAGCATTAAAAAGAAGCAAACTGAAAGCAGTGTCACATCAGGCCAATATTTTGAAAGTAAAATAATCTACTAAACCTATTTATTATTACTACTCTTCAATGCAAATACCGTGATCAGCTAGCAATACACTTGCTCAGTTTTCCTTATGTTTCATTCCTTTAACGTTTTTTTAAAATCAATTTTACTTGTGGCTTGCTAATAATTTTCGTGGTATTTATACAATGTTAAGATTTGCTATAAAAGATACTGCGGTTGTCTTGTTTCATTAGCGTCATTCAATTCAGTTGTTTATTTTTACTTAATTCCATTTTCAATTATGTCGTTTTAGGCTTGCCAACCACATCCCAACAGAGGACTTCAAATACAAAGGCAAATTATAAAGGAAAAATCTCTGATTTTAACGCCATCTAACGGTGTGCATTCGTGTTGCTGACGTCATGACTTTATTTTGAATTAACTAGTGATGAACTGTGCAACTTCGTAACCAACAGGGTAACTTACTAGGTGAAATATACCAACTGTTCTCATTTTTTTGCTTTGAATTTAAAGAAAATAAATTGTTCCGATGCTTTTGCAAGTAAACGATTTCTTTGTCTTGTTTAAACCGCCAAGGGGAGGAGAGGGGGCAAGTTCCACGCCCTTTGAATCTCGGTGTTTCGTCATTTCCCTAAAGCATCTCGATCAATTTCTGCACTTCTTTTTGATTTTTTATTCCATTTTCAAATTAAATGAGTGGCTGTCATGTAGAGCTGCCCCCCGCACTTTCACGAGCATGACCTCGTTTTCACTTCAGTTCACCGTATCCTAAGATAATGCGTCCCCTCCCTTTTCTCGCTGAAATTTGCCTCACAGCCATGGATTTTATATGAAGACAAACAGTTCCAACTGTTGGCTGTTACTTACCCCCATTTATGAACCCAACTTTTAACCCCTCCTAAATAAACCACCTAAGGCCAGTTTCGCAACACAACAAGGCCGACAATGGTTATAGGTCCTAGCAAAAAACTACTCAGAGACTTAGCCGGCTAACCGCAAGTTGCGTTTCATGTAAAATCTTTTAAAAAACGTGTATAACGCGTTTTCAGTCTCTTAAATAATTCCGAATTGTGCCTGTTTTGAGAAAACTTTGATTTTTATGAGTAACAGTAAGCTGATTGAGGTTAAATGTCAAAATGAAACGGTCAGACAAAATATAGCAAAGTTCACTGCATGTTATCGCAAACATAAAGAAGGCTTTCTAATAACAAAAAATAAATAAAATAAAATAAAAAATAAAATAGAATGAACTTGAAAAATAAAAAAGGAAAAAGTCGCCGGCAATATACACGTACGCGTCAATATAACATGAATGTGTTTAAGACGTCCTAAAGCTATATTTTCTGTCAAAATTAAATCTCTCTTAGCTTATCTTCCCAAAGTCAGATCTAAAATGATAAAACATTTTAAATACAGTATAAGTGCCTGAAGTCTATGCAAGACAAGGCGTATTAAATGAATTATAATTGGATAAGAAGAAGGTTATGTGACTGGTGAATAGTACAAAACATAAATACAACATGTACCAAGTGCAATGCCGTGTGAGCAACGGTTCTTGAGTAAGAAGAAATATCTGAGGAAAATTAAATTCAGCGCGAATATTTCTTTTACAATATTGAATACCTAGAATGCTCTTCAAATGGTTACCCGACAACAACAAAAAAAAAAAGGAATGTTTAACAAATGTGCATAATAATACATCCGCTTTATTCCTAAGTTCAAAAGTTTCCCATGGAAATATCAACCCACACTTCTTTTCTGTCCTTACAACTGTCACTTAGCAATATCAAACATGATGCTTTTGATAGACTTTGATATATATATATATATATATATATATATATATATATATATATATGCTTTAAAAGACAAGACATTGCTACCGAACATATATTCAGCCTATGAGGGTGCCCTCCGTGGGTTTGACTTCCTTCAGGAAGTTGAAGGCGGTGTCGTAGCTACCATACCTAATGGGAAATGAGAAATATCGTATACGAATGTCAAAATATCTACATGCAGAAACAAAAGAAAAAGAAAAAAAGAAAGAAAATATGTTTATAAATAAACAATTAATTAAACAACTGCTAAAAATAAATAAATAAACAAATAAATAAATAGACTGACAGCTTCCAATAATGGCTTCAGCAAGATACTTGAATAGACTGTTTCGAAGCTGTCTGAAAGAGCATTCTGTGTCAAAAATGAGAGTATGTATGGACATGTTTACCATTAATTAATTATTAATTTTGTGATGCAGCAATGATCTACTATTTTTCTTCATTTTGTTTCAACGACAATAAATATTTAACACACTAGTATAAAACCAAATTACTTTAGAATTATATTTGGAGGAATTTAAAGTCTACAAAGTCGAGTACGTAACCTGGTTATGTAGCATAGCGCAGGCTTTTTCATCCTGTGCTTAAGTCCTTACATCATGTTCATTATCCAAATATTAAATATGACAAAATTATCACAGGTTGAAGGGCATCTATGAACCCGTCATTCATTCACATGTGAACTGGACGTGATGAGTTCGTGATACTCACGAGATACTGTTGACCCCGTTCTGAGCCACACTGATGAAGGCCTCTTTCCCAGGAACGTACCCAACGGTTAAAACGCCGCCAGATGGCGCGAGACGACCGTCATGAAGACCCGCACGGCAAATGCTGGAATCCTTGTTCAAATAAATTGATGAATAATTGATTGAATAGACAAACAAACGGAATCAAGAGAAACTAATTCGGGGAAGAGTATAACTTGCTATTTGTTGTAAAGCAAATGACATACACTTTCGGCAATTACAAAACAATTAAAACAGAATTAGACGTGTAGGAAGTTATCGAGTGCAAAGTAAAGTGTCAACGAGTGTAGAGACTGTTCTCGAAGAAGGAAAGGGTGGAACGTTTCAGAGTCCGATATAGTTGGATCAGATTGGTTAATTTTTCTCATCTGATTTGCGCGTGTTTAACACGTGTAGATCTCATGCATAGTCGGGTTGGACAAGATCCAAGATGAGCATTTCGGGAAATATTTTAAATATTTTTTAATCATAAACAAGTCTCATTTAAATTACTAAATTAGGAAATATTGAATAGAATTTTGTAATATGAGAATGGGAAATATGAGAATGGAAAATAGAATATAAATACTTGTAGATTCTGTGAAAAATTGTGTGTGTGGGGAATAAATATCTGAAGCTCCAGATCGTCGTTGTTGTCACTATAACATATTTATTCAGGAATCAAGCAAAAGATGACAACTCTCATATGTATGCATTTAAAATGAAATAAGATAGAATAAAAAATATATAAATCTGGAAAAGCACTCAGAGAAGGCAGACCTCCGCCAAGGTAGCTTGATTCCCGTTATCGTATATATTATCATAGAACTAAATTATCTATTAATTAGCCAAAGTAACTGATTAACTTATTTATCAACTTAATTTTGATTGTTATTCATCGATTTACTAATAACCCAATTAATCGACCCAATTCTTCTCATTATTAATAATAAATTAACAGAGAATAATAAACACTCACCCCTGTGTATACGCCTGATCCCCACACAGCAGCAGATATGCTCAGACACCCGGAGGGGCACCATACCCTACATTTACAATACGATAATATTAAAATACCAGCTTCATAGATGTACTTTGTTTACTTCCTTTTTTCAAATTCATTTCAATGTTACAATTTTTTTTTCTTTTAAGGTAATTGAATTTCTCGTATATACACATTTATCTACTGGTTTCGGAATTCTAAATGTACTATCCAATCGAGTAATGAAGTAACTGACTATAAAACAAACTAAATGATCAAATATAAAAGTAATTTAAACAAAAACTATCTATTGCGCATTTCGCTTTTTGTATTTCATTTTTTAAAAAATCCCCTTTTTTAAGTCATTACATTTCTCGTATATACCAATCTGTCTACTGATTTCTTAATTTTACACCAGTATATTGACACTAAATGCTGTTTATCACTCTAACTTTCCCTATACTGAATAAAATTGTCTCCCTGAGTTAATTATAAATATCTTGGAGCAAACTTTCAGAAATCGATCAATGTGTCTACGAGAATATCCAAACACGTGCCTACAAGGTCCTTTTCCAACCAATGGGCTGCAGGCAGTCTCCCAGTCCGATGTACAATCCAAGGGAACGTAACACGCGTCGTGGGCGTGGGTGGAGTTGCAGAGACACACAGTGTTTTCTTGTGACAAAGGTTTACAGCGTTCCCCGAAAGGACAGGTGTCATCAGAGCAGCCAGGCTCAACGAAATGGAATGATTCATCCCATGCGCCGTAACTTAAAAGACAGAAAGCATCATTGCAAAAATACATCCGTTCAGAAGGTTTCTCTTTTCTCTCTCTCTCTCTGGTTATTTTTTCAACTGTGTATATGTATGCCCTGCGCTAATGTGTCTGTGACAACATGTGCTGATGGTTATCAACAAGTGTTATAGCAACACATAAACACAAAATTACAGACCCAATCGAGACATCACCTAAACTGAAATTAATGATATGCTATTTATCAAGCACATTTATGACAATTTATAGCAATGGTAATCTTTCTTAATTGTCTTCTTTCTCTTGTCTACATGTATAGTTTGTTTTTGCCTCCAAAACCACGTTTAACCAGCAACTTTTTCTTCCTTTCTCATTTCTTTCACCTTTATGTCGCTTTACGTTTTCTTGACCCCACTACCAAGACATGATCCACTAATGCCTATGAACACAACAGTTCATACAAACCCAGTGCTCGGAATGCCGTTCTGGAGAGAGGATTCATAAGAGTCCTGTCCTGGCAAGTATCCCAAAACGAAGGCGCCGCCATTGGCGCCCTTCATTTTCCCGTCGTGAATAGCTGCTCGGCATATAGAGGAATCCTATTGCAGTCAATAACAATTACATATAACATGTGATTACATAAACCCCAGCAAACATCAAACGTTATTTTAACATTACCATAACGTTTTTAGTTAATTAACGCTATGGTAATGTTATAATAACATTCTGTATTGAGTTGTACATATGTAATCTATTGGCAAATTGCATATTTACTCATAATGGGGATTCGTGATCTATTTGGTACATGAAAAATAAAGGTTTGGTTTACGGATTTATTATATATCGGACAAGGACTTTACTTAGAGAGACACTTAACACCAACGGAAAAGTAAGATGGTCCCGTATCAAGTAGTACATTGTAGATTGATGCGAGTGTCCAAAAATGATAAAGCATGGAAAAATTAGAAAGCATAAAAAGTGAACCGAGCAGAAATCCCAAATAATTACCGTACCCCTGTATAAATGCCTGTCCCCCAGATGTCGACACCGTCGGCAGCCAGGCAGTCTGGTGGACACCACACACTGGAAAATTTAAGTTATATATGCAGATGACAAGTACCAGTAATAAATCTAACGTCATCAAAAATAAAAAAAAAGACAATTTAAATAGAAAAAGGTGCGCTAATGTCACGCTGATAATTGTGCCAAAAAGATAAATGAATAAGGTGTAAAATAGAATTAATGAATTAAGTAATTCTATAAAATAATATAACATTTAAACAAACAGATAATGTTACAAAAATAATGACAGCCGGGTCACCAGAAAATAATTGCGTTGAAATAATAATCACGAGAAAATGAAGACGTGAAACCGTTAGGGTGGCATGTGCAATGAGGCATTCTCTTAACACAAGAAGTCAAAGTCGGGCTACCGCTGTGTTAAAAATCGCCGCTGCAATGTACTATTGCGAGATTGAATTGTATTGCAGAGATTGGCTAAAACTGTAACACATGACCTTGCGTATTTTGTCTTTCGGACACAGAAGTTTACTGGAACTGAATACCGTACAGCGGAATAGGCGGGGATTCAGTGTGTTAAAGGGTGCAAGGACTAATAATAATTTTAGAATATAAAACCTATAGAAGCAACAAAACACTTAATTATAAATCTAGAAAAAAGTCAGAATATCATTAGGGGTTATATTTATATAAATGAATTTGAAATGAATTAGAAATGATACTCTCAATTGGATATATTGCCTTCTAAATAATATTATAATGTAATACAATTACAATCAAAATAATAACCGGTTATTGTATTAAATCATAATATTATATTACAAATATGATCTAGAGCATATTAATCCATGCAGCTGTAACTGTCCCATTGATGAAACTATCTATTGACCTGAATACAGGCACGGCGTGATGTAGTTGACACATGTGCTGCGACAAGGGGGCGAAGTCTCGTTATCAACAACATGTGTTTTGATTCCCTGTTCACCGTTGGTTAGGCTTTCTGATAAGCGAATAAGACCACTGAACGAGAACGAGAACCACTTGGTGATTCTTAACCATGCCAAATGTGGAGAAATAAAGACAGTAGTATATGAAAACTACCAAGACATCAAGATAGCAATGTTAAAGCTGACAATCCTCGTTTTGATAAAATGCCAGTAGTCTTGCTTGAGCAATCAAGCATGCACAATTACCTACAAGCTTCAGTTCCGAAATTGCTCTTACAGACGGTGTCCCAGGTGGAGGTACAGGTCAGCCGGATGCTGCACTGCGCGTCAACTGCCGCTGGGTCGCATATACACACAAACCCGCCTTGGTCCAAGTCCTGACAGACTTCTCCCTTTCGGCACGAGTCGAAAGAACAAATCTCTTGAAAGGAAGAAATTAGCTTATGTTATTTCTTCAAGAACGTTGCCGTTTTTTGCTCTGGTTTTTTTTTCTATATTTTCACCTTTTCCAGTAGATTGAATGTGTCCATCTAAGCCCTATGATAAATCTAAGTAACGTGTACAAACAATTATAAAATGAATGAACACATAATAGGGAGATCACACCTACTGCTACACTATCAAAACTATGAACGTCATCGGGCAGTACTCGGGGAAAATGATTTTAACAGTCTGCGGTGTCATTGTACACTAAATGGATAACAAATATTTGCATGACATCCACATCTCAGAATGAATACATAGTAAACAACTCATAGAAATATAATCAATTCTATTTTACCACCCAAACGGCGCTAATCGATTATTCTGGAATCTGTGCTTGCCATTGGGCCACGTGACCTCTCTAAAGAGATAAGTACAAAAACTCTTTTTATAAACTAAAAAAATGTCTAATTTTGTATGTCGGAACGGATTAATTCAATATGGAAAAATAGTCGTTTACCTATAAAAAATTCCCTTTTGACCAAAAAGAACCGATGTTATCCCTCTAGGGTCACGTGAGTGAAATGATTCATATGAGGTTAAATGTGACTCAAAGTGGATGGTACGAACCTACCTACAACGGTTACGGTTATGTTGGCATTATCCAAAGATGCGGCGTGAATACCCCTAAATAAAAGTATGATGTATAAGTGTCGTATCAAATATATAACCATTCCGGCATTAGGATTTGACCTGTAAATATGGTATTAATGTTCATTGGGAATAAACAAGAGGTTCTGAATTAAAAGTTCACGTAACAGAGATAATATTAGAATTACAAGGAAATTATATATATTTTAAATTCCTTTTTTCCTCCTACTTATTGTATAAATAAATATGAGGTGGGTGAATTTATGTTAAAAATAATCATTTTCATTTTATTTATCGACACACAATAATTATGATAAAAATCAACTTACTGTATATAGGTGTAAATACTTACGCTAGAGAGGCTATCAACAGAAACAGTGCCCCTTGCATCATAGTGATCTGAATAAAAACATGCTCTCGGGTAAATATATCGAATGAACTTTAAAAGGAACATGGTGCATTGAAAAAGGTTGAGATACTCAAAAGGTTACTTTGACCGGATACATGCTGGCATGTTACGCATTAAAACGCCACCACATTAAGGTAGTTTATGCCAGTAAGCAAACAGACAAAATGGTCACATAACCTAGATACAGACGAAAGGCAATTTTGTCGACTATATTACAGAATACTCAACTTTCAATTATCTGCCCCACGCTTCCTCCTCACTCTGGTAACAACTACAAAAAACTGATGTACCGGTATGTACGTAGTCATTGGAAATATGTCTTACTGACATGATCCATAGAATAAAGTGTAAATCATTTCCACTCCAAGCGTCACTTGGATAGTTAAACGCACATTCATAAGTCAAACGCTTTGAGGCTTTTATCAGCATTTTTCTTTACAGGAACATCTCACGCCTTCTTACCTGCTTCTTCAACGGTGCAAACTTGTAAAATGACTTAGCCACTGGTATATATAGCAATCTGATCCGGGTGGACTCATTTCCAATGAGACTATCGTTCTACGTAGATCGATTCAACTCTGCTGGGACTCTCGCTGAATGCAATCAGATAAGAATTAACACATCATATTGTTTCCAACGTACTCATTTATTAGCCAGCATTACTGTATTCCACTCAACGCCAGGAGGAGGCGTGTTCATCTGTTCATCGTGATTTGTTAATTGCATTCAACGAGGATGCCTTCGGAGTTAGATTGATCTAAGTAGAACGACAGCCTCATTTGGAATGATACTTTTATATACCAACCCACATGCACACACCCGGCGTGTCAAGGGAAACTTGAATACAACTTCCACTATTTGTAAGGTTTAATCATACCAACTTGGAGGTCTCGGGGTAAGAGTGTCCGCCTCGTGAGTTCGACCCAACCCGGAGATAAAGCGGCTCTTCAGAGGCGGTACATTCTGTCCATTTTTTTGAATCATTGAAGCAGTAGAGGCCACGTGGCCTGACACTGAAAAAACGCATTCAGAACAGATGATCCTCGGACTAGGAGATCCGCTGATCAAATATAGCCGATGCACTACCGAGCAATACCGACTGATTCCCTGATGGTCTCCCCGCCTCCACACGCGCAGTCGCTGAAGGGGCCTGGCAGTTATACTTAGAAGCTTAGATTTAACCCATTTAATGGCGGGTGTGGAGGCGGGAGACTATCAGGGTATGAATCGGCTTTCTGTTAAGAGGGGTTGGCCAAAAAGTACAAAAACTAAATGGAATGTGTGCAGTACACATGTTTAAGAACTAGGTGGTTTACTTTTTACTTTACTGCCAACGGCTGAGTCTACTTTGAAAAGGTCGGTGTAGCGTGACAGAGAGTCCCTCTGTTGTAGCTAGAATTCGCAACCAGTGCATCTCAACTAACAGAATAATTCACGTCAAAGAGACAACGAACCGAGATTGTAGCACGCATCCTAGAATTCTCAACGTCGTGCAAGTATAAGATTAATTCATTAGATATCAAGTTTATAGTTTGTAGGTTAATTTAAAGCTGTTTATCTAATATGACAAGTTAAGTTAGTTACAAGTTAATTTAAGCTTTTAACATGTGATTGTGCACATGTGAAGAGACATTTGTATTTCAAATTTAATCAAAGGCAGATGACTAGAAACTCAAATTTATTAAACATTTTACTTTGGCGTTAATTTCTGTTACTGGGAATTGACTAAAAATGACAGAGGTACTATATGCATACAGTATACAAATAATGGGATCTAAGGAGGGCGTTAACGTGTCAAATGCCCCCTCATGACTCCTATTAATGCCTTAATATGGTTATCACGACGATGTATATAACGGTTCCTGTTATAAGATTGGCGATCAGTTGTTGGGTGTATTGGCGCCCAACATGTTAGGTAAGGTGACTGGCATCTTATCTGTATGTATATCGGGCACTCGGCCATTTTAAATTTCTGGTAGCGTTGTATTGGTGTAACACCCCAAATCCGAGAGGTCACTCCAGTAGTAGGAGGCAGCAGATTACGGCTGATTGTCAAGCAATATCCTAAATAATGAACCAAACTTAATAGCAGTCTGAGCTTTTGAGATTACCGGAAAGTGTGTTAATAATATTCAACATTGGCCACAAAGGTTGGCCCACCCCTAGTTTCATGTGCTTTTCTTTAGAAATGATCACATCAACTTTATTATTACATCAACTTTATGCCATCGCTGTTTAACTGCCGATTCAGGATGGCACCTGCTTTCCCAACTCTTTCCCTGGTAATTTTAACATGTGCTTAATGTCACTTTTCCCCAGCTTTATGCATATGAAACAAAATACGATGTATATAATAAACGGAGACCGTGCACACAATAGACGATTTCATGCCATCACTGTATAACTGCTGATTAAGGATCGCAGCGTGCTTTCCCTACTCTGTTATGTGCCACTTTCATAATAATTCCTGTATGTGTTTAATGTTACATTTTGCCAAATTTATGAATATAAAGCAAAATGCATTGCATATTCTTAGGGGAAACAGAAGAAGGAAAAACATCAAATAACAGTTATCATTTAATAAGTCTTGGATTTACGCCAATCTCAGAAAAGTTCGTCCTTTATAAAATACTAAACTCAAGCCTCTGTGTGATCGTTAATTTTGCTGGAGAAAAACACCCTCGAACACGTCTTAAGCTGCTAAGTCTGTCACAATCCAACAGCATCCAGCACTACACTGGCATCAAATGGTTGATAATCTTCGTCTAATAGCAGCTATAAGGAGTTTCTCTCTGCGTCGTTGGTGAAAGTATACCACGTAGATGGCCACAGTGCCAACGGCCACGATGGCTATTATCGTACCAAGTATCACCATTCGAAATTCTGCTGCATACAGTTTTTCTTCCAATATTGCTCCATCAGATTCTGCATGAAGTAAAAGAAAAATATATATATAATAGTAGTGATATATGTATTTAATAAGCATTCAATCCGGAATTCATAAAGCAAAATAAAATTTTCATTTCTATTCCTTTGTAAACCATTAAAACTGACATAAACTATTATGACACAAAACGTATCTTCTATGAAGTACCGCAATTGCAATTAATAGGCAAAATAAACATGATTGAATGAATCGGTAAATAAAACCGTAGATCATACCGACTGTTTCCATTCCAATAGATCCCAACAAGCTAACGAAAGTAGTCGAAGGCAAAACGGCACCGGTGACGCCACCGTCGCTACTAAAACCTGAGGACGACGTTCCAATGAAGACAGCACCATTAGTGAAGGTAGTTTGAGGGACTGTAGTTTGCTGCCGCATCCGAATCATAACCATGGAGTTACCTTTCTGTCCTTTGATACCTCTGGCGGGTAATCCTTTATTTCCTTTCTCTCCCTTCATACCAACCATACCAGCCTCGCCCTTGTTGCCAAAATTTCCTTGGAATCCTTGCACTCCTTTGTCTCCTTTTTGTCCTTTAACGTCGCCAGGTGGACCTTGTGTACCGCTCTGGCCTGTAAAATAAACAGGCCGGATAAACACCCTTAAAGTAATATAAGTAATATAAAAAAGTAATATAAAAAAGTAATGTAGAATATAAATACCGGTACTTTCCTAACGAAAAATGTTATACGGTAGGATCCTATAAGATCTTGTAGGATCCTATATGAAAGTGGGCTTCTTCGTAAGGGTTACTTAATAACAAATAGTAATGATGAGTTGTATGTATTTCATTTAAATTTTATAAGAAAGCCTACCAACATCTTTTTTTGACAAAAATGAATTCCACATAATTAAGCTATGTGTATGTAGAATTATTGCTCGGTAATCATGAAGTTAGCACAGTTTAATGAGTTTTTATTAATATTGGTTAAACTGTGTTCTGTTGCCTTGACTCTGGTTCTGTCTCGTCTTGTTTACCAAAGATTCCTGACAAGTCTGTAAAACGTCAAAATTTTAGGACGTAATATTAAAATTATGAGGCCTTCGTGTATTTAAAATGAAGACAGATGTCTTAATATGAAGTATACCTTGGTAATAATGAGTGAATAGGTGGGTTAAAGCACATAATGTACATGCACAGATAATAAATACATGTGTCTAGTACTAACCTTTCAGTCCGGCAGTTCCTCGCGGACCGCCTGTCCCACTCAATCCCAGAGGTCCCCCTGTACCTGGTGGTCCGCCTGTTCCCATAGGCCCACTGGTGCCAGGTGGGGCACTATACCCACGTGGTCCGTCTCTTCCTGGAGGACCACTCGGCCCTGGAGGTCCACCTGTCCCTGCAGGCCCTCTAGTCCCGGGAGGCCCGGATGTGCCAGAAGGCCCATCTAGACCCGGCGGTCCTCCCGTGCCTGACGGCCCATCAGTGCCAGGAGGGCCACCTGTTCCCGGGTGAGCACCTGTTCCTGGTGGTCCTCCCGTGCCTGGAGGACCATTTGTGCCGTCAATTCCTCCACTGCCTGGTGGCCCGCCCGTTCCCGGTGGCCCTCCTGTGCCTGGTTGCCCACTTGTCCCTGGTGGGCCGCCAGTTCCCGGAGGTCCTGCTGTTGCTGTGGAGCCTCCTGTCCCTGGGGGGCCTTCAAAACCAGGGGGACCGCCTGTTTCTTGTGGACCACTCGTCCCAGGGGGTCCGCCTGAACCTGGTGGTCCACCCGTTCCTGGCAGTCCGCCTGTACCTGATTGACCATTGGTTCCCGGTGGAGCACCTGTTCCTGGAGGTCCACCAGTGCCCTGTCCACTGCCAGTGCCTGGGGGGGCGCCTGTAGCTGGTGGTCCACTTGCACCCGGTGGCACTCCTGTTCCCGGTGGCCCTCCTGTACCTGGAGGTCCATTCTTACCTGGAGGACCACCTGTTCCTGGAGGACCATTTGTTCCCGGTGGCCCTCCAGTGCCTGGTGGTCCACCTGTACCCGGTGGCCCTCCTGTACCTGGAGGGCCACCTGTTCCTGGAGGACCATTTGTGCCCTGTGGCCCTCCATTGCCTGGTGGCCCCCCTGTGCCATCTGGTCCGCAACAGTTAACACCGGCATCTTCAAAATGATCACAGTCGTTAACTCCGATGGGGTCTTTTGTGCAATCATCAAGAGTATTTTCATTCCCAGTGCATTGAACCTCATCCAAAAGGATAGCACCAGTTCCTTCGCCAAAGAATGCGTTAGAGAAAGCAGCTGCGTTCCCAGATCTAAATCATAATGAAACAGTAATCCCATTAATTCAAAATGACTATGGTACATATTAGTATATCAATGTAATGAGTAATGAGGTAAAATATAGATTTTAACTTTAAGTCAATGTATTGATATCCATATTGACATTTAACAACATTCTACTTAAATTAGGGAAATAGATCAAAGTATTTTGTAGAAACTCACATAAGCTTCATGAAGTAAACGGATTGTGCAATGAGGACATATAGTGAATATACAAATGAAGGTCATTAACTGCTCTTCTGATACTGTTTGCTCGGTATCAGGACAATCCTCCCCCAGGACAACCCCCTCCCCCCAAATATATATTTATAATATAAAGAAAAAAGTACAAATCTTTTCATCCATTTTCTGAATATTTCTTAGTGGGATGATGCAACTCGAGGATAGATAACATTAATTAAATTGAACAAATTATTTTCATGGAGTACAAGTACAGAAGATTCTAGAAAGAGAAGTACAGAAAATTTTATAAAAAAATTCTGATCAAAGTATATCGCTGTATCTTCATGTAAAGGTGGGGTAAACAGATGGTCTCACTTATCCAGGTTACCCTTTGATGAATTAACTGTTACGTTTAATTGCCTCATTACTCCCTCCTTCTTGATTGAGTAAGTCTTGAATCAAGGTGCATCTCTAGGGAGAGGTAGGGTAAACAGATTTTCTGTTATTATCTGTAACTTGTAATTTGTTTGACCACTACCCAAATATAAACTACCCCAAACACTGAAATTTTCATAAGCCATCGGTTTACCTGTACATCTGTGTACCCCATCTTTACCTGAAGGATAGGTGGTTATACTTTCATTAGATNATATATTTTGATCACTGTGTTATAACTGTGTTGTAACTACTGTATGTGTCTACATATATATTTTTATTGATGATGTATTATCTGTTTTCAGTAGAGATGAAGGTGTGTTTCCTGGATTATCATCACACTGAGGACAGCTGAACTGATCTCAATCTCACAGCTTCAGCACAGGTCAGTGCAACAATGATATTGTCATACTGATGATTCTTTTTAATCATATTGTGACCATGCATTGTCTGTTGTGACATTGAATTAGTCTGTATGTATATTGATCATTGTCTATGACCCCATTCCCAGAGATTAGATCGACCCAACTAGATCAACCTCTCTGGGGGTTCATGCTAAATAGCTCCCAGCCGAGCGGGCACAAAAGTTAATTACCCCCCTTACAGCTTGTAGTAGGCAGGACGGACATTTAAGCTGGATTATCTGACAGTAATCTAGTGAGACTCCCCACGGGGATAGATCGATCTAAAACCTATGTCTTTATGTATGTTTTTATTTTAATATAATAATATATTTTGGTCGCTGTAATTTCTGCGTTGATTATCTTCCTTAAATGCTTTTCATCAACTCCAAGTTCTTAGAAAATCCTTTTAAAAACCTTTTTCTACAAGCAGTTATAAAATAAAAATGCCTGTGCATTTTCTGATCGTTATGCATTCCAAAATTTCCCAAACCAAAATAATATTAATTGGCCAATGTTTGAATGTCTGTGATAATTTAGTGAGAGAACATCCGAGAAGGCGTTTTGTTAATTAACTTAGATAGTAGGATGACTGATTTTGTAGTCTTTGATCATTGTGTGGATACATATAAATGAGCGAAAGATCAACTGGCTGTACAAGGTCCATGTACGGGCAGGTGAGACTCTACAGTGAAATGTTTAATACTTCCTTTGGGGCACAGGTTCCAGCAAGACAATGCGCCCATGCATACCAGCAGGTCGACAGCCATGTTCTTTGAACAGCACAACATCAACTGGTTCAAGACGCCCCCCGAGAGCCCTGATTTGAACCCCATCGAGATGCTGTGGGCTGAACTGAAGTACTTAATCAGGAACTGGGCGGAACCAAGAACGAAAGATCAACTGGTGGTTGAAGAATTCTGGACCACCGTGGATCAGGCTAAGTGTGTTAAGTATATTAACCACATTCAGAAGGTAATGCCCGAAGTAATTCGTGTTGAAGGCAGAGCCACAGGTTATTAAGTTACTGCCCTGTCTGTCCAAGTATTTTTAGGCTTTGACTTTGTAAATATGTACAGTATTGTAAATGTGTTATTTTTATGTACTCTGAAGTGCCAAATAAATGTGCCGGCACGTTTATTTTTTTCCTGGAAATTTTCCACCCGGCACGATCTTATTTTCCCAGCAGGATTAATAATTTTCCCCAAATTTTCCACACGGCACGGTTATTTGGCAGTCACTGTGCCGGCTAGAAATATTGTTAATCGATTCTGAAATGTTGATGATCGTTTCATTGGACAAGTTACACTGTAATTTTTATAAATGACATGTCGCAAGCACTACACTCGAACTTGTTTTTAGCGTAAATAAAAGACCAGTGTTTCCCCTGCATTTTAATTTGCAAGCTCCTTGCTCGAATTTGTCAAAAGCACCGCCTCGCTGGGTTGAATGGAACAACAAAGTATATTTTTACTCATGCTAACTAAAAATTATATTTATTTCTGAGCATATATGGCATTCTCTTTACATACTGTACGTAATCCCATGCTTCTGAGCACTTAATTTAGTAGTAGCGGAAATATGCATGCGCGTATGCCTAAAAATAACCAGCAGTTACTACCTCCCTGTGAGTGCCTTGTTTTCGCAGTTCTCTGCCTTATTTGAAGTATACGAGACAGAGCAAAACGAGGCAACTGTTCTTGACAACATTTAGTCACTTGTCACAAATACACTTTCTCTGTCACTTCAGGTTCTGAAAATTAGACCGCCTATTGTGTGTTTTTATAGTTTACGTATATTCACTGATAAAAATGGAGCAAATAAAGTGCACTTTGTTGATTTTATAAACTTGGAGAAGATTTTCTATTGATTTCAGGTTAGTTTTGTGAAAGCAGTAGAGTTGTAAAACTGGGTCACGTCAGTATTTCCCGTGGAAAGCCATGCATTGCATATGAATTTCCATGACTGAATATAACCATATAAATGAACAAACGAAGAACTCAAATTGATGATAAATGTGATTTTTATCACTTTAATTCTGAAGAATTCATTTCACGGTGTTTGAAGTTGTTGATTATAAATTACATCTCAAACTACGTATAACTGGTAGTGGGAGTCGCTTTGCGCTGAACTAGGGGAGAGAGAACTTTTTTTGCGGCAGTTTTATTTAAGGATGAAGCCCTCCAACACGCAAAGTCAATTGACCAGTTACTTTCAGGAAGGTGAAAAATGGTAAGAACAACATATTTTACACAGCACAAAAACAAATCTTTCCAAATTTTCAGCCTCCGCGGAATGACGTCGGAACAGTGCAAGCTGGCCTTTACAATGCGCGACTGAATGACGTTTTTCCGCGCAGGAGTACCCCTTTCTCTTTTACACAGCCTTTCAACAGGCGTAATCTTGTTCATCTTTCTCGCGACTGAACAACGTTTTTCCGCAGGGGTCCTGCCTTGGTATTATGGGATGGTTGTTATTGGATTGTGACTGACATTTAAGAACATGAGATTTCAATGGAACTGAAAGATTTATATTGTTAATTCCATTGAAAATTTCATTTTATTATCTTAGGTGCGCTACATGTATATACTGTCGAAAGGCGTGATCATCCCGATCATAAGAACATCTCTCCTGAGGAAGCTTCCCCCGAGGGCTTATCATATTTTGTTATTCATCATTTCTCTTTGCTGATTTATCTCTAAAAGTTGTATTTGATCTATCAAATCCAGTCCAATTCGTCTCAAAAACCATTTTAAATTAATACAGATTGCTTGGAAGCGATATCAAAGTCTATATTTAAAGCATGATCATTATTTCCATAAAATTGCAATGAATTATAATGAATAAGACTTGGTCAAAGGCCATGCTGTTTGATTATTAAAAGTTTGGCCGCGGCCTTGAATAATGCAACTCTGGTTGCAGCTACCCTCTAGCAGGGTGAGTGATAGATTTTTTAACAGATATTCACAGATATGTCTCTAGCTAGATAGATGGTCATTTTCAGCTAAACTCATCTATCAGTTTAGCTGAAAATGACCATCTATCTAGCTAGAGACATATCCGTGAATATCTGTTAAAAAATCTATCACTCGCCCTGGTAGAGGGTAGGTTGCAGCAATGCAAGTCAATTAGCGGACACAAAACTGACTAGCATTTAACTTGTCGCTTGTACTTGTAATTGTTAATCACACTTGCGCTTACAATCTGGATTTTATAGGATACGTTTTAAGGTGTCTCCGGAGTAAAAATCATTTCACTGAAATCATGATACACAGTCAGTGTATTTTTAATTTTTATCTTTTCAGTTAATAAGGTGTATTAATAAAGATTCCTTTGACGATCGCGATTTAGACTGTGGCAGTTTAAATAGATCTTAAGTTTATTAGACTGATGGACAAGATGTAGTGCTTATGCATTGAATCAGCGTGTGCAGTGGTGCAACCAATCTTTAATTAATAGGGGAGTTGGAAGAACCAGCGGGTGACCGTTAAACGTTCTAATATTTAATCAACACTGAGCGGAGAACAAACAAAAAAGGATAAAGATTTGTCACTCTATACGCTGGTGGCCGAGGAAGTTTTAACAAAGCTCGACTAACAACAATGTTTGTCACGGTCAGCTTCAATATTTCATCCAGCTAAAAGACGAAAACAAAAATATTTTAATACCAATGTTGACTGGAGATGAATTAAAACATTTTTTATTTGATGAATAAGTATTGCCCCACAACTGATCGTAGTACATCCCCCGATAAAATTTCGCTTGATAGACCATGTCTAGAACCATTAGTAAACCATTTGTTCTAAACTACATATAGCTGTCATAAAAACCTTGCTTGAAAAACTGAATAACTATAAGACCATTGTTATTTTGCAAGGTTAAGCAGCGATAAATATGTTGATATATAGCAAACATTATCAGTATGATGTGCCGTATTACGTATAAAACAGGAGTACTTTTCTATTGATGATGATATCTTGCTCACAGTGGGTGACGAAGAGAAGGGGGTGGTTAAACCACGTAAGTGAAGAATCACTGCACATTAAACGTGCATAGTGTGCCACTTTTACACAGTTTCTACTAATGAAAATGTATCATATCGCAATATACTGATTTCTTCATAGAAGTTCATTTTTCACAAGTCAAAAACGGCTATTTTGTTTATAAGTTCTGGGCTTTGACAGAGAAGGGCAGGCCTGCTTTAGATGACAGCCAGATTCGGTTGTATTTGTATGGGGATTGCTACCAGTAATTAACATAGTTTTCACATGCAGTACCATTGAAACACGATGGTCGAGAGATGACTCATGAGCTGAGGTCAGTATAACAAGCAGCATGATGGCCAATAAGCTATTTAACCTTTTATGTAACCTCTTTCCAACCGCGGTGATGAAGGCTTAAACCAAGTGTTTTGGTTTCTTACTTCTTTGTTTAAGCACAGTCCCCCCCTTTATTCCGGGACTCTGCAGCTGATGAAGGTCACTTGTTGACCGAAAAGTGCTTTCTGCAACCAGTCCAACTCCCCGCCTTTTTTCGTTTCCCCCGCCGCACTGTGCGTATCTCGCACAGTTGTCCCTTCAGGTCAAACGCATACAGAGGCGAGACACCTCTGTCACATCATACCGAAGTGAAACAACAGCCGATAATATTGAATACGGCAATAAATAGTTATCTAACATAATTCGAATCAGAATTATAAGATGGACACGTTCTATCACCGTTGTCATCTCTTCACAAACACATGATAACACATCTAAGGGACTTTTATACTTCA